GATCAATGGTTCCAGGAGCAACTATGGGGATTAGCGGGTGTTTAAACAGACGGGAGGGAGACGTACCCGAGAGAAGAGCATCAATCATGTCAAGCCTGCCATGCACACTTGCATAATGCAGGGGGGTGCGTCCGTACACATCGGTTCTCTCGACAGCAACCCCTTTTGACAGTCCATACTCCAGTACAAAGTTGTTTCCGTAGATGGCAGCCTGGTGCAGGCAATTCCGCTCGTTGATGTCGTCTTCAGACTGAATATCCACCAGACCTGTCTCGAGCAAAACACGGAGGGCTTCGAGGTGGCCTTCGTTGATGGATGCCAGGAACGTCCTGGTGACACGCTCCTTCAACGAAACATCCATGGCGGTGTTAGGTGGCGCGGCGGCTCTCATCCGGCCAAGCAAGTCGCGCAGCTGATCCAGCCCTCCAGTAAGGACCGTGTCGAGAAGGAGGGTATCGGCATCTCCCTCGTCAGTGCCCAGCAGGTTCTGGCTGCTAACGATGTGGTCAGGTCGGCCTTCAAAGCTGACGGTCTCACCCTCTGCCCAGGCACCAAGCTCCTGGAGACTGGTAGTGGCCTGATCCGACAGCTCGCTGATGACGGTGGCGTTGAAAAACGGTTGGACCTCGACGGCCCTCGAAAGATACAACTCTTTTGTCTTTGACTTTGATGTCTTGTCCCATTTCTTGAGGATTTTGGAGAAGGCGAGGCCGTTGATCTGGACAAACTGCTGGAGCTTGTTTATGTCGAGAGCGAACTGTTGGAAGCCCTCCTGGAGAGTGGTGAACTTGGCAGAGCGTCTCGAGATGCCATTATTCCGCGACCTCAGCACCTTTTTCTTGTCAAGAAGCGTCTTGAGACGGATTTTGAGCTACAGACGTTAGTCGGGATGACAATGCGGTGCCTGAAAAGGGTAGAGTACCTCGGCCTCCTTTTGCAGGTAAAAGGCATTAACTTTTTCGAGCTCACGTTCCTAATCACAGTTAGCACTCACTTGCTCAGCCAGAATCAGACATACCTACGAGCTGGAAGAAAAAGGTAGCCTTGTTTGCCTGCAAGGCAGCCTGAGAGTCGGCAGGTCCCGCGGGATGACGGAGGTCATTTTGGGAGGGGAGGATGGGGGTGGCAGAGAGCTTTTTGATGAGCTGTATGGGTTGTCAGTAATACGTCGTAAGACGGGGTGAGACAAGATGGTGGCTTGCGGGTGGTACCTTTTTGAGGGCTTTGTAGTTTACAAAGCTGGCGGCATACTCGGGCACCTCGAGCTGGCGCTTCTGAATCTGCTTGCCAAACTTCCTGGTCGAGTTTCAGCATGATACACATACACAGTGACTTGGACAACCTGGGTGGCCGAGTTACTCACATGGTGAAGGAGAAGAAGCAAGGGGCCTGTCAGCCCAATGCTCCAATCAAGATGCGGTCAACGAGCGACTTGGTGAGTCGGGGGTCGGTCCGGGTAGGAATCTCATGCAGCCCCAAGACAGTGGCTGGCAACGTCAGTCTGGGTCTTTCTGCGTTGTCACTTCGGGGTCGATGCTAGTAGGGCAGAAACAAGGCCACTTTTGTACCGATTCTGGGGGTGACAGTGGAACAGGAAGGGTAGGACGTGTCCAACCGTGAGAGTCGCGATTATCGTACTCATGTGATGGGGGGACGACGACTGGATGGAGGACCCGAGCTCCCAATAGAAGAGACTTGTGACAAGAGCTTTCGATTTAAGAAGAAAGGAAGGGGGGGGGGGGGGGGGTAGAGGCCAAGGATGAACCCAAGAGGCAAATGTAGACAAGACTTGGGACTCGAGACTTACATGATCTCGGTGGGTGTTCTGCCGGTGGGGGTCAGGCCGGGTCGTCTAACAGCGTGCCGTCGTCACAACACCGTCTGGTTTTTTTTCGAGCTTTTCCGGTACTGCAATGCCGGGCGAGATGGGGGTCCACTGGTGTGATGACCGGCCGCTGTGGCGGGTTGATTGGGATGTGTGTCAGGAAGGGCCGGGTCGGAAAGGGGGCAAGTAAAGACGGATGACAGCACAGTCACCCAATACGCGCCGGCTCCGTTGATTTTGTTGGCAACAGCCGGACCCAGTGGTTGGGCAGGCCTGGAAAGGTCGATGTATAAAGGGCGACAGACTGCGGGGTTGGCCGCAATGATCGCTATCGGGGGTGTTGGAGTGCCCTGGGTGAGTGTTGGACTGAGTGTTGAAGGGTAGTGATGTCGTCTGTCCAGGTCTGGGTGGTGCCGTGAGGTGGTAGTGTTCCGCACTGGAAGCGAAGCTGCGAATAGCTCCAAGTCTCTCACTCCCTCAGAGACGGGTCCGGGTCCAGGTCCAGGTCCAACAGGAAAACGAGAGAAGAACCGGCAGGATGCCAATAGCGGCTCGACGAACCAACGAGTTGACGAGGGTGTCCCCGGTGACCGAGGCAGACCTTATCCGCGCAGTTTGGAGTTTGGGTTTTCTCACGAGACCCGACGGAGGTGAAGGTCAAGAATCAAAGGCAGAGAAGCAGACCAATGACATCCCGTGTTTCCCCCATGTGCTGGCTTGGGGCGACGTGCAAGGCTGACGACAGTAACGACGGGCGTCCGGGCAGAGGAGTCCACTGTCCACATTGGCTCATCAGCTCATGTACGGAGTACCTATTGGCACATGGATTGCAGCAGTGCAGGAGCCTATGTACCTACGGGGCAGGGGAGCTCCATTGACGGCAGTGCGGGGCAGGGTGCTGCGATGGGGTCCTCTCTGCCCCGCCATTCCCCATCTCACCCAAACACGGGCACAACATATCTACCTACAAGAGCCAACGACAAGGTATATTCCTGATCAAGACACCATCATGCCAGAGACAACAATACACTTTGGCATACTAAAAGTACCCAGCCGCTCTGCTCCTGGAACAAGTGACAATCTGCCCCCAACCCTCCCTCGCTTCTCTCTCCACCAAGGGTATGTTCCAGCGGCTGCTTTGCCTGCCCAAATCCATACAAACGCATCGATCGACCAAAGTCACATCAGTGATGTCCTCCCTCCCATCTACTTTGCCTTGTCCGCCGACCCGCCGGCCTTCGCCTTGTCGTCCCCAACCAAGCTGTCCGCCATAGCGTCCGCCGTCGCCTTCCTCAACATATCCTCCGAGTCATCGAGCTTGATCTCCTTCTTGTCCTTGTGGTCCCTCTCATCATCACTGTCCCCGAGGCTGAACGGGTCGTTCTCAGCAATCGGACTGGGCTCAACCGCCGACAGCGGCTGCCACTTGCTGGCCTTGCCCGAGTTGGGCGGCGACGGTTCCTTCTTCGGGCCCAGCCTCGGCGACGCATTGTACGCATCGATGTCCTCGACATCCTCGGCAAACGCCACTCTCCTCCCGTCGTTGGGCTTGGGCGACTTGGACGGCGGCGGCGGCTTGAAGAGGTTCGGGTTGGCGCCGTACTGGTTATTGTACCGGTTTCCCTGCACGGGAGCTGCCGTTCAGTTAGCGCGTGCATCCCCAACGAGTCCCGACGCCATCAACTTACTACCATCGCTGTTAAACTTCATACCCGCAAAGTCATCGCTCAGGAGCTCCGGGTCGTTGTCGTAGCGGTCGTAGTCGGCGCTCCTCCGGCTCTGGTCCCGCGTCGGCCGGCCCATGAACGAGCTGCTTCCCTGCGCGTTGTTGCGCTCGTCGTCCTCGTCAAACTGCTCGTCAATCTTCTTCTTGAGCGCCGTGACCCACGAGTTGACCTTTGTCTGCGTCTCGGCAAAGCCCTTGAGCAGGCTCTCCTTGATCACCGGCAGGTCGTCGTCGAGGAAGCTGTGTTCCCGGTCGTCGCGCACCTGGTCCGGCCGGAGGCCAGTGGCCTGCTGTCCGCCGCGAGAGGCACCGTAGTGTCGGGGATTGGTATTGGCCGTTCTGTGTTCATAGGCCCCCTCGGAGTCGTAGCGCTCCGCCAGGCGCCGGGCGTACTCCTCGTCGGCCTCGAGCTGGGACTGCGCAGTCGACGTCGGTCCGGTGGCGGCAGCGCGGGGCCTGGGAGGCGGCGGCGGGGGAGCCTCCTCCTGCGCGGCATCGGGGTCTGTCATCTCGAGCAGGGCGTTGAAGGCCGGCTCCACCTGCCCCCGGCTCGCTCGCAGGACGGCCTTGATGACGGCCATGTCGATGGTCGGGAAGGCCTCCTTGAGCATCTGGTGGCTGTCCTGGATCTCGCTGATCGGTCGCGGCGGCTGTGGAGGCGCAGCTTCGGCGCCGGCGCCGGCGGATGGCTTCGGGGCTGTCGTCGACGCGGTTTTGGTTGTGTTGTCGTCGGAGCCGAGGGCCGTATCCTGGAGATCGTCGTCGTCCATCTCGAGTGGTCGTGCGGTAGTGGGCGACTCGGGTGCGGGAGTGTCCGTCAAGGGGAATTTGGTCTGCGAGGAAAAGAAGCGGTGAGTTGAGTTTCTCAAGTGTCAAGTCAAAGTCCACGCGGTTCGAAGAACTTAGAAGGGCGACACGTCGGTGCAGCGCAGGGTTGGGACGGACGGATAAAGTGGACATGGGGCATTGGGGCATGAGCCATGAGGTCTCAGGTGTCACAGCTCCGACGGTCCGGCCACTTACTGTGTCAGTTGGCGCAGCCATGGTCGGTGATGACTCTGATGAGCGCCAAAAATGCAGGGACTCTGTAGTTGTCGCGCTTCGGAATATCAAAGATAAAAGGAGGTGTTTTTGGGAGCCAGGAATCCGAAATGAGCGAGGCAGAGGCCGATGTCACTCTTGATCCAGGAGGTGGCATGTGGGGGGGAGCTGGCGCGTTCATTCCACAGCGGCATTACGTCGCCCGCCACCCCAAGCCACACCTGTATCGATAAGGCAGGCAACTCGGCCTACTGCATACCCCGCCTTCCTTTAGTGACCATGTGGTTTGAAGGTGACGTGCATCAAAACTGTGGCAATATCAAAAAGAAATCCAAAGAAAAAAAAGGTATCCTCCTCTGGCAGGAGATGCAGTGCATGTCTGGGGCAGAAGCAAAAAGAGAATTGAAACTCCCCGGGAAAGGCTCGAACTTTCAGCCTCCAGATTACAAGTGAGGAAATCACTTAACAGTCTGACGCGCTAGCCAATTGCGCCACCGGGGATGTGTTTCTGGCTTGATGTTCAGAAGCGTCGCAATTGCAGCCTACCAGGACCACACTTCCAGAGTCCGTCTCTTCAACAAGAGAAACACTCAACTCGTGCTCTTTCGCATCGCACAGGTTTTCTCCCGTATTCTCAAAGCCTAGCATCTTCATTTCCAAACCCCAAGTGCTGCCCACTATCTGGCCGGAGCAGATAACCCCCCATCCCGATTGGCGACCCCCCCTGTTGGCTTGGCACGAGCGATAACGGTCCCATGTGCTAAGCCATCGGTGACGTCTCCTGCCCGGCCCTCGATAACCACCACCACATCACCTCCGGAGACAACAACCACGGTCATTCACAAACCCCAATCACCCCCTATGCCGCCATGGGCAACACCTCCAGCCGCGTGACGGCACAGGACAAGTGCGCAACCCCTTCCCCCCCGCCACGACCACCAACTAACCCCCGGGCCCCCCCCCTCCCACAGAGCAATCCTCGACCTCAAAACCCAACGCGACCGCCTGCACCAATACCAACGGCGCATCACCGTCCTCACGGACCGCGAGACCGCCATCGCACGTCAAATGCTCGCGCAATCCGACAAGAAGCGCGCGCTCCTCGCCCTCCGCCGCAAAAAGTACCAAGAGTCCCTCCTCGCCAAAACAGACGCCCAGTTGGAACAACTCGAGAAGCTCACCTCGTCGGTCGAGTTCGCGCTGATCCAAAAGGACGTCGTCTACGGCCTGCAGCAGGGCACCAAGGTGCTCAAGGAGATCCACGCCGAGATGGGGGGCATCGAGCACGTCGAGAAGCTGATGGGCGAGACGGCGGACGCGATTGCGTATCAAAAGGTCTGCTTCTACCGATGGTGTGGCCGGGATGGAATGGATGCTGACGGTGTGGTGGACAACAGGAAGTCAACGAGATGCTCGCCGGCCAGATTTCGAACCAGGACGAGGACGAGGTCGAGGACGAGCTGGCGGCGCTCGAGGCCGAGGTGAATGGGGCGGTCAAGGTGCAGCAGCCGCTGCCGAGCGTGCCGGATACGCAGCTGCCTGAGAGACGGGTCGGCGTGGAGACGCCGGAGCGGGAAGAGCCGCCGACGCAGGCGGAGCGGAGAGAGGCCATGCTGGCGTGAAGAGGGCAAGTGTCCAGTATGCGAGGGGCTCGGTTTTGGATTTTTAGAGAGCAGGTATTGCATGTTGCATAGTTATCAGTGAGGACCATGGAGTATAGGCAGGCAGGCGTTGTAATCGGTTTATGGGTTGAGGGGCAGAATAATGAAATACCCGCTGGTGTTGAAGATCCAGGAACGGCGTTTCTGTTTTGATATGGAACGATCTCAAGGTCCAAGTCTTGGTGAGATCATCACTTGATACACCTCTATTTTGACATCATGATTGCATCCACCAACAGTCTCAAAGCTGTTTTCATTCAGCTGCTTGGGCATTAATAGTCTCTATCATACCAAGATGCATATCCCATGACCTGCTTGCTGCCAAGAGTACGTACAAAAGCGTGAATTCAACAGTGCCGCCTCCTACAAATGCTAACCGCTGCAAATATGCTGATGGAACCGCCAGAAGCCACCATCTAAACGCCCATCCATGCCAAAACAACCCCCAGGAGTGCACAAAATGCTTCGACATCTATACCCTTGCGGCGCCGTCGCTTCTCCCACATATATACCCACACATGCATTGCTGGCCTGATTCCACCCCTGCTCAACAAGCCTGGTACCGCCACCGATGCCATGACCCAGCGCATCCCTTCTCCTACGCCTGGAACCATCTTCAATATCTCCGCACATACTGCACCGGTCCGTCGTTCCTGGGTGGAAGGGCTTGGTTGCTGGGGGGTTGATTCTCCTGGCTTTCGTATTGCATCTGCACGGCCGATGGCCGTTGGTGATGGTACGGGTCCAAATCTTGGCCGGTCGAAGGGGCGCGATGATAGTGCAAGGCGTCCGTGTCTTCGTATTTCACAGCCAAAGGCCGTTCCACATAGCGAATCTCGCGACTATACCAAAGTCAGTCAGTATCATTGGCGTATGAGCAAAAGAGAGTCATACTTTGAACCCGTTGGCAGATACTCGATGCCAACAACACGTTCCTGTCTCCCATGCGGACCCACTGGATACCTGTCCGCCCCTCTCGTCGTGCCAGGAACGACATCGTACTGCTGCTGGCGTGGCTCGCCCACCTCTACTCTCGCCACAACCCGCTCGATTCTGGCGGGCTGTCCAGCTCCAGGATTGCGATCGTAGGACCAGGGATCATCAACTGGTCGAGGAGACGCATAACTCCGCAGCTCTCTTGGTGGCAGCTCATACCTTGCTGGATCCACTGGCATTGGCTGGGGTTCGTGTTGTCGCGGGAACCTGTTGGTGACTTTGACAATCTGTACATCGTCGTCGTCGTCATCCTGAACCTGGACTTGACCGTGGCCCGATCCCCGGTCGATAGGGCGAGGGGCGTCATCGTCGAGAAAAATGGGGCGCTGCTCCGACCTAAGGACGGCGCCGTTATCGTCAATCCAGATGGGCCGAGCCTCTCTCCTGAGGGTAGGTTGACCATGGGTCATATGCATACCCCCGTCGCGGTGCACCACCGGCTGAGGTGCCCACGAGCCTTGGTATGCACCCAGAGGGACGGGACCCCTCGGGCTGTTGTACAGCTGCGGGAGCTGGCCTAACTCGGCTTGAGCCCGTCCAGACGCTGGTTGCCTTCGGTCCTGTTCGCGCCGTGGAGATAGCGTAATAAAGTCCGGCTGTTCCCGGATGACATGGTAGCCATTCGCCCGCTCAACTTCGACATATCTGGGTTCGGCATTTTGACGAAAAGCAAACGGCTCCCTGAGCCCACCAGAGTCGTTGGCCACAAGCCGTCCTGGGGGCGGGTCTCCTTGGGTTGGGAACCGTGGTGGAAATTGAGCTCCGATAGGAGAATACGGCTCGATCGACCTAACCAGGTGATCTTTTAGATCCAATGTTTGAGTCCGGACCAGCTCCCTTGCGGGCTCTGTGCGCATCGGGTCTCGTTGCCCAACTATAGGCGAAAACGAACGTCCCCGCTGTTCCCCCCCCCGGGCAAGGGAATATCCATATGGGGCGGCATTTTGGAGTGAGCCATCAACATGGGTTGGGCGTTCTCGCTCGGCAATGGGAGGTCTTGGTGGAGGTGCTCCCCAGCCAGCATAGAACTGGCCTGATCGACGAGGCTGCTCTAGCAAATCTTGCTCATTCCTGGGGGTGGGATATCCAAAGCTGAATCCTGCGGGCTGCTGCGGCGATGGGTTGGACTGGACGGGCCTGTCCGCCATCGCGATATTGGAATACTCAACCTCTGGAACATCGTGCCGCTGACGCTCAATAGCTTGGTGCCAGGCTCTGTCACGCGCATCACGCGCAGCCTGGTAGCGACTGAAGCCCCGGTGCGACTTGACGGCAGCTCGGCGATCCTTGCGAGCGATCCTGGAGTTCCGCCCGGCATGCGCCCTCGGCCGTTGCGAGGCACGAGGGGCTTGAGCTGGCTGCGATGCAGGTTGGCCCGCCGCCGTAGGCTGCTCCACCGGAGCGGGAAGCAACGCCTGCTCGGTGGTATCGTTCCGGTCTGGGGCATCATCAGAAAAGGAAACGTCAGACGAGCTCTCTTCGTCCTCATCGTCGCCCTCATCGTCGTCATCCTCGCTCTCGGAGTCGGAGATGACTACCACCTCGCAGAGAATCTCGTCCAGTTGGTCGCGACCTGTCTCCTCGTCTCCTCGCCACTTGACGAGGATGTCGAGGCACACGGGTTCTACGGCCTTGCGAGCATTGACATAGGTAGTCTCACGCAGCAGCTGGTCGTAGCGCGTGTGGGTATGCCTAATGTGAGCAAGAACAGCGAGTTGGACTCGACGCGTTAGGCTGATATCGGCAGCCAGCCCAACCAGAGGTTCACTATTCTTCGTGTTGGACTGTGCATGTTGTTCGAATCAACTTGCTCCTCGAGGTTCGGCTGGGTACATGTGAACTGACCTTGTTAAACGCGTGCTGGATGATCATTTGGCGATCCGTGTTGGGGATTCTGGGGAACAAGTCCCTGATTGCTGCATCAGCTTGGGCATCGATGTCCTCCTGTCTCTGGGGAATTGGCTCAGGGACGGAGGGGTTTGCCTCGTGGGATGGCTCCTGATTTTCCCCCAAAGACTCGCGAGCCTTCTCGACGATAGACTGCCTGATATGAGTGCCAACTCTGTTGAGATGTGTGCTGAGGGCCCTTGAGAAGCGGCCGGTAGTCGACTGTAAGGAGGGGCGGTCAGAAGGGTGGACGGGATCGTGGGGGGCCGTAGCAGCGCAGTCGACAAACCGTGACGATGAAAATCATGGCCTCCTGTTCGCGGGAGAGCTCTTTGCATTTTGTTGTCAGAGCAGGGTTCCCGGCGGGAACAAACTCAAACCCAGGCGGTGGTACAATGCTCTCAGTGTACTGCGTGCCGTTAGTTGTCTGATATCTCGCGGCCTGTCGGCCGATGGTCCCCGAGTCGTCCGATTACCTGAAACTCGAGCTTCTTCTTTTTTCCCTTGTTCTCCATCAACTCAAACCAAGACTTGTGCTTGGAACTGGGCTGGGGCATGGCTGGTCTTGCCACGAGACCGGGAGGGAGGGGGGCGGTCCAGTCTATGATGTTGCCCCTGCGGTCCCTCCTGTGCCTGTCTTTGGCATGGAGCCCGGGGGCTGCCTTCTTTTCTCTCGCCATGACTGGTCACTGCAGCCTCGGCATGGCAGGGCCAAAGTGGTGATGCCGTGGGATGGAGAGAGTCGGAGAAAGGGAGGATGGAAGGGTGGGAGAGGGAGGCAGATTCGCAACTCGCACCTGGTCTGGCGCGGCCAGGGCGAAAGCAGCGCCGTCTGGTGGAACAGGGGATGAAAACAAGTTGCGCCGAAGCGTGAGTGCTGTTGTCTGAAAGGCCAACAAGCTCGCAAGCTTGGTAGCCAGGGACAAGAGGTGACCTTTGCAGCGGATGGCAGAAATG